GTTCGCAATAAATTCTAAGTCGCCGTGCTGTGCCAGTTTGCTTTTTTTTCAAAGAGTCTTCTGATTTCTTTCATATGCAAATCACGCGTGGCAGGCAAAGAGGGCGTAGGGGGGGGGAGTTGGTTGCTTTTAAGTCGGCAGCGCGCGGTGTGGTCGCGGTTTTTTTCAACTTTTGTGTGGCGATAACTTTTGTGTGGCTTTCAGCGCCATAACAATTCGGCAATTCATATTTGGCAGCGACTTTTGTTTTTGTTCTTGCATACATTTGTTTAAGTGAGTCGGGCGTTCATTCACACCAGCCCAGCGTTGAAAAGTAGGTTTGGGCGGGTGATCGGCTATTAGTGGAAGCAATTGTTGGTCGTATTGTTCGCAACAATTTTTGACACATTTATTGACGAAACGCAGAGTCAGTCATACATCCGTGGCGCCTATGTGCAAATTTCGAATGTAAAGAACGATAGCTACCCTGCTGCGTTTTCTATTTACTTTAAGTATTGTAGTTTTACTGAATTTAGAACTTGGCCCAAATCGCCTTACTTATCTTTTTTTTTATTAAACAAGTGACTGGGTAGGAACTTTCATTTGTTTATTATGCTCCTTTTCAATAAGAGATAGTTGCGAAGTCGGTGAAACATCCAATATGTGCACTTAAGGGCACATCACCAAACAAATGGCGCTTTTTGCACCAAAATTATAAATGTGTTAGAGTTTAAGACTTTCGCCAAAAATATTTCGGAAAAATATTAAGATTTAAGTGAGTTGATTCAATACTACATATTTTGATTCCGTATATAAAAGTTTTAATTATTTTTATGCAGACCTTTAAAGCTTAAACTCTTCTATCATCTGAGGTGATTTTTTTCGGAAAAAATAATTATATAGTTTTAAATTTGTTTCATTAAAAAAATAGATTTTTTTAGTATTTTCAAATCGGTCCACCTCTTATAATAAAATAAAGCCGTGAGATATAATAAATTGTGTAATTCCGAAGGAAAAACGTTACCGATTTTTTTTTTTGCATGGAGGTTGATGCACCCTAATGTACATACGAATGTTTCATCGAAAAGCATATTAAGATATATTTAGGGGATTCACAAGACGTGTTAACCGTCGTAAAAACTTAAGCTTAACATTTTTTGTGCGGAATAAGGTTAAAATGGTTTTAGGGGACTAATAATATATTTGTTTTTTTTATCAAAATTAAAAACATTTCGGTGTAATTAGAAACCCTCTAAAGTAAAAAAAATTTTCAAATTCAAGATTTTACCACATTTACCACGCGTAATTCATAAGCTCATTCGAGAAATTTCAAAAAAAAAATTTAAATAAAAAAAATTTTAATGTGTTTCACAAGCTACAACTATTGACGTTGAGCATATCTATGGAACCATGTTCATAAAAAAAAATAATACTTTTCACTCATTTTAACACATTTGCGTGCATTAAATCATTTTCACCTTCAAAGGCGTAACTGATTAATCATCTGCGGGAAAATTGCTATAAAAACAAGCAAAGCATTGTTTTTTTTTTTGGAAATCTCTTTCGGCTTTTTTTTTTCATGAATGCTGCTTTAGCATTGCGGCTGGAATTTTCTTCATACGCAAATGCGGACCAAAAGTCAACGGTGCGTATAATTTGAGGTGGGCATCAATTGAAAATTTATTCCAAAATATTTAGCTCCAAAATGATTAAATCACAGTTTATTTGGTTAACCGATGAACGTCAATCGGTAATCGGTTTATACTTTTATATATATTTGTATGTATGTATGTCTATATACCTATTTCCATTGAAGTATAGCGAAACAGATATCCGATTTAATTGTAACAACAACAGCTTCGGCAACACGCAATTATTAGCAAATTTAAAAAAAAAAAAAAATTTGTGATAGCTGCAATACAAATGTCTATGGCTATGTATGTATGTATGTTTGTAGCCTATGTATATATGTTTTTCAGTAGGTGCTTTCAGGTAGCTGAAGCTATTCGTATCTACGCGCAACTGACGCTTTGTTCAATGTCCAGCAAGCTGATGTCATAATTTACTTTTACCAAACTTGTTTCTTTGCTTATTTTCATATTCTCTGTTTGTTTATTTAGCATTTCCTATTTCTTACTCGTTTTCTTCCTCGTCATTGGATTTATTTGCCGCTTAATTGCCGAAATTTATAAATTTGTGACCAAAACGTCATTGTTGAGTGGAACAAAAAGTTGGTGGCGAAATTCAAGTCGAAATTTCTGTTATAAAATCTAGTCAAATATCTTCGTTACTTGGTAAGTAAGTAGGTAAGTAGAGCTGTATTGTCCTGTATGTATGTATATTCATAACCACTATAAGCCTAGAGAAGTGGATAGAAAATCAAAAAAATATCGAAATTATTTTAAAGTGGGCCTCGAAAGTGAATGAAGTGTTTTCGTTCTGAATGTTTACTAAATTGAAGACCTCGAACTTGCCAGGATTGGATAAAATCTTTCGTGAATGATAGGAATCGATGCATTACCTAGATTAGACTTACACTAGGGGGCCAATTTATGTTGCGACAGTTTGGTGTCACTGCTTAACATTCGAGTACTTAACAACCTTTTAAGGCAGTGAAGAAGAACTTCAATACTTTACGCTCATTTCCATTTGGTTTCGTAACTAAGGAGAGGTAAAAATTTAGGCGAAACGCGACTATCAGCATAGTAAAGCTCTGTACACATCGAAAACGACATCACCACATGACAGGGCATTAAGCTTCCATCAACATTATCTAAACGCTTTGTCGACGGAGGCATGAATTTTTTGAAAGCGGCAGCGACATCATGAATTTGTTTGATTTTGACATAAAAATAGGAGGAATCTTATCAGTCGCTAAAAAAATAGAAATAGGTCTAATCTGATTATATCTAAATTTTTGGCTAGTCGCGATGTTGCCGTGTTAAAATAATTTGACAGCTGTGGCCTGTAGCCCGTCATTTCTAATGTGTTTCAGACTTAAGACGATCCAATGTACTCATTTCATTTGACAGAATCCTCCAGCAATGATTAGTATTCCTTAGAATTATTTATTTTTGAGAATTTATTTAAGGACTTCGACGTATAGTTACAGTCGAAATTCGACCGTTCTTATAATTCTTTTAGGGATACCGAATTTTGAAATCAAAAAACTCTCTTGAAAGAGGCAGATACAAAAAAAAATTAACTAAAATTAAATTTTTTCTTTGCGTACGTATTCATTCCCTCCTTCGCCTTCGAATTAGTTTTCTTATTCGTATTCTCAGCCTTTTTCATAATCGCCTTAGTGTAAGTGTTCGTCCTTGTATTCGTTTTCGTTCACGTTTTCATATTCCTGTTCGCCTTCATATTCTTCGTCGTCTTTGTCTTCGTCTTTGCCAGCGCCCTAGCTTGGTCCTCATATTAGTTTCCGTCTTCGGATTCCCCTTCGTCTTAGTCCGAGTACCAAGGATTTGTCTTTGTCTTTGTCTTCGTACTACTGTTGGTATTCGTCTTCTCATTCTTGTTCGTCATCCTAGTTACTTTCTTATTCGTCTTAGTGTTCGCATTAATCACCGCGTTCGTTTAACTGCAAAAGCAAAATCCGTTCATTTCAGAGCAAATACCTATTAACTCGAAATTGCAATAAACATTACTAATAGCTTTTGCGAATTTTCATCTGTAAATGATTTTTTATTTTTTATATAAATTCCAGCTAAATAGCATTACATGATATCGCATTTTGCCCTAACAATGCATATGTATGTATTACATACTTATTTCTACGTAACATAATCCAAATTAATATTCCCAATCAAATACGTTTGCCATTCGTGGTATTTTACAAAGTATGGGAATAATATCTAGATAGTATATTCAAATACAATTTACATATGCCTACGTGAAGGTATTCCAATAATATGCCGACTAATTTATTTTAATGCAATGTCACATTTGGAGTGGCATTTAGTTTAGGAATTTTTATGACTAACGCTAGACAAATAAATAACTAAACTAAAGTTATAAATCTCTACAAATAGGTAATGTATAAGCAGTGTTTCGCTATAGTATATCAGTGGTTTAATGAAGAATGATGATAATGAAAAATACCTGCTTAAAGCTTAAATAAATATGCAAGCGACTAAAAGTCTAACGACCGACCATCAAATAAATACCAAGCATTATTAAATCAAATACAGATAAGAACCCCAAATGTGTTTCGGCTGTACCAACAGATAAACTGAAAAGATGCTCAGATAGTTGCGGAGATAAGACCACGTTTATACAAGGCACTTCTTTGCGTGTGTTTACCTATTAGGGGCATTCTTATTTACTACGAATAAGTAGCTTTGGATCCCTATATGTAAGTAATAGCAGCTAATGTGTCAAGAATTAAAAAAAGAGACTTAAAGTCTCTAGTAATATCTAGAACAAAATACACTTCGGTCTTTTTAGGCGGTTTATTATAAGGATTTGAATTTATGCGGTTTTTCAAACCATTTTTTCGCTTTAGCGATTTTGCTTTTTTGAGAGTTGTTATCAATTTTTTTTTAGTGTGTAAGAGACATTGTTTCTGTAAATTAATTCGTCTTTGTATTCTTATATAATTCATGTACTTGTTGTGGTATTTTTTTGTTTTTGGTTAAACTACAAATACAATTTTATCTATTTAATTAATGTTTATTTTTTTTGGCTTAATATTGCCTCACTGGATTTTGTATGCGGTTTTTTGGAATTTCTTACATGCGAGTATCTGAACGCATCTCCTGTTTTTGTATGCAAGTAAAGAGCTTTTTTTATGCGAATTTTATTCTGTGCGGCTTTCTGAGGAATGCCAGTACACCCCTAATGTTTATAAGTACTATGTATGGACGCATGCTATGCCTATTAGATAACAATGGCATTAAGAGCTGTTACTCAGTCCATTAAAGTTTACTACGGCAATTCAGTTAACTACGAATATTTACGTATGTATGTATCTATATGTAGTATGTACTATGTTCATATGTTAGTTGTTATCTTACCCGATGTGGCGCGCTAAGCAGACGTAGTATGGTGCCCAACTGTGTGGCCAGTGGCATGGTGGCGGCAAAGCCATAAGTTGGTGCACGCGTCGGTATCGGATACATGGCTGTACAATTAAGCGGATCAGTATCGACCAGATACTGCACCCGCAGTGTAATCAATTCGTCTGGATCCATTTTCACTATCATTTTCACTGCGTGTGTAGGTTTTGTTGTTGTTGCCGGTTGCCGGAGCGATTGTTTGCCAATACTCCCCCACCTAGCGTTCACTTGCTTTTATGCTGTTTCGTTGATTTTATTAAATTTTGCAATTATGTATCTTACTTTTTTACACAAACACACACACACACGCACACAGGCACACTAATTCACCACTAAATACAACACATACATTGATACGATGTGGACAGGTGTGTGAGAGTTTTTGCTTTCCGCCACTTGAGAACCGTTAAATAACATGTTAAACTGCTGGAAACTTGACTAACTTTGCTTTCGTTAAGTTCAACTCATATTTTAAGTTTTATGGCGCATTACCGCTTTTTTATTTATTTATGCAAGCATTTTAATTTCACATATGCATATTTGTATGTGTATGTGTTTCACTTTTCCCGAGTTAATTTAGCAAATCACTTTCATTATTACTTCGGCGCTTTCTGTTTTGGTTGTTGGAGTACTAAAAATGCCAGCAGATTATTTATAAATAATGCAAAACGCAATTGCAGGCGTTTTTTTTTCATAAAGACGGTGTTGCTTTGCTGTCGGCTGTTTGCAGAAATAATTATTGTACGTTTTAAACGCGTTGCAGGCGATTATTAAAAAAAAAAAAACATAAAAATGTTGGTAAAATTAATTTAAAAATTTTTGTAATTTACGCTGCTGCGCCGGTCTCATTTTGGTATGTTAAATATGTAAATATTCACTTACTATTTATTTTACAAGTAGTGGAATCTTGTTCAGTTAAGTAAGAAAAATATCTTCAATGGAAAAACGAATGAAAATCACGAAAACATCGCCATCTTCACTCATCATTCTTAATTTGTATGGAAAAATTCATTGTTGGCCATAGATTGGCCAAACAATCGGTGAAGTTTTAAAAAGATTTTGAGGACTCATTATTCCATTCATGAAATGCAAAAAATCTCTTGGCGCAAGCTTTAACCATTCGTCCTGAAATATATTAGCCAGAAATGTGAAAAAGAGAACCATTTTGAAATATGAGAGTTTTTACTGTCCACAAAATAATTTATGCAACCTCACATGCGCGGTTTTGCATTGACGATGTGTATAGATAGATGTGTATAGGTACTTATACATGCATACATATGTAAACCAAAAACTACATATCGTCACCTGAAGTGTAAAAAGGCGTAACAAAAATCGTCGCTGAAATGCTAAAAGTCGCAAGTAATTAAAAATTCAAAATTCACTTTTTGATTGATATGATAGATTTCGAATTGCAACTCCCTATATCGCTTTAGGAAAAAAAATGTTCTTTTTAGTCAGCACTTTTTCCATTTCAGAGTTTGTTACGGCTCTTAGCATTTCAGGTGACGATGTGTATATCCAGTTTCTTATGTATTACACTGA